TTAAACCCAAGAATCGCTCGATGGACTCTATCGTTACAGAACTATAATTTTAAACTGACACATCGAGCCGGCGATAAAATGGTTCATGTAGACGCTTTAAGTCGCGCAATAAACTACATAGGCTCGCTATCTCTCGAACGAGAATTAGAAATTAAGCAATTGTGCGACCCTGTATTCAAGGTCATAGCGCACGATCTTGAATACAAGGAAGATAAAAAGTTTAAATTAATTGATGGGTTAGTTTATCGGAAAGATAATGACCGGTCACGTTTCGCAGTACCCGAATCAATGGTTACCAATATAATAAGAGTATATCATGACGAATCAGCTCATTGTGGAATCGAGAAAACCCTTCAAGGGGTATCGGGTACCTATTGGTTTCCATCGATGAGGAGAAGAATTGTCGATCACATTGACAATTGCATTACATGCGTCATAGCGAATTCGTCGTCGCACGCACGCGAAGGCGAGATGCAAGCAGTCCCGACAATCAATGAGTCATTTAAGGTCTTACATTTAGATCATTTCGGCCCACTTCAGCAAACTAAAGAAGGCTTCAAGTTCATTCTGGTGATCGTAGACGCATTTACGCGCTTTACGTGGCTTTTCCCCACGAAATCTACGAGCACAAAAGAAATAGTTACGAGCCTCAAGTTCTTATTTACTAGCTTTGGACCAAGCAAAGAAGTTGTGACAGATAGAGGAACTGCTTTCACCTCGAACGAATTTCGCGATTTCACTAAGAAAAGTTGCATATATCATCGGCAAGTAGCGGTAGCCTCGCCCTGGGCAAACGGCCTAGTAGAGCGGGTAAATCGTTTTCTCAAAACCTCGTTAAGTAAGGTAACGGCCTCTCCATCCGAGTGGTCATCACAATTAAATAAAGTACAATACGTTATAAATAACTCGTATCATAGTAGCATTAAAGGTTCTCCGAGTAAACTCTTGCTGGGTTACGATCGAAGAAATCACTCCGATAAAGAGCTGACCAATTTGATCGATGAACTCGCTGATGTAGATAACGACATCGAAACAGTTAGAAATCGGCAACGTGATGTGGCTGTCGAAACCACGAATAAGATTCGCGAATACAACAAGCGCTATTATGACAGCAAACATAAGTCACCGACTAATTATCGAAAAGGAGAATACGTCATGATACGATCGTTACAAGCGAAACCAGGCGAAAGCTCAAAATTAAAGTCACCTTATAAAGGGCCGTTCGAAATAGCAAAAGTGCTTAATAATAACCGGTATGTGGTCCGTGATATTCCAGGTTTCAATGTCACGGCCCGACCATATAATTCAATATTATCGTCGGACAAGATTAAGCCGTGGATTCGTTTGAACGAATCGACAACATAGGATTAAGTTTATGTTTAAGGATTAAGCTAAGAACCTTTGTAAATATGTATGTAGCAAATAAACGTTTCTGTTATAGCGATCAACATTTGAACATTCGAGACGAATGTCATGCCAGGTTGGCTGTAAGATATTTCGATAATCAAGCATTATAATATTCGTCCGTCGATGTGAACATACGAGACATCTATTTATCGCGACCGTTACTATCATATACTATCGTATACAGCTATCAAACGTATGGATAGTAGTACTTGTAATCGCTCTGTGCGGCGCCTCGGGCCGGAGCCGAACAGTCAAAAACCGGAGCACGGACGGCGCCGACGACGGTTTGTCGCAGTCACGCGAGTTTTGAATATCGTTCGATATTACCCTTAAGCTCACCGTCGCTTTTGTACGTTTAGATTCAAGTCTAATCTTTTGTGTTAAAATAAAGGTTACTTCTGTTGAGTGAAAGAAGAAGAAGTTTAGGCCTGACAGTCATTTGAATTATCTTCTCTCCTTCCCTATTATTATTACTATCCCAGAAATTTATCCCTTCGGCTCAAGCGTTTTGAAGTCGTTAATTCTAACGGATGCGACTTGGAAATTGACTGTTATCATAAGGCAGTCTTACAATATTAAATTTCACGCTCATTTTTTCTGCTCTATCCAACATTTTGAAATGCAAAAAATGCAACGGAGATGTGAAATTTGCGAAAAAAAGCGAACAAGGTTTAGGATTTCAACTCGTTGTAATATGCCAATGCGGAGAGACAAGTTTTAATTCCTGTGATAAAATACAAAATAAATCATATGAAATAAACCGACGAATGGTATTTGTCATGAGGCTTTTAGGGATTGGACTGAATGGAATTAATACCTTTCTTGGTTTAACGGATCTCGGTAAAGTACTGAACACAAAAACGTACTACGCTGCAGTCGACAATATATTCGTTTCTGTAAGCGCAGTCTACAACGAGGTTATTAGAAAAGCTGGTCGCGAGGAGAAAGAGAAAAATGCTGCCGATGGAAACGAAATGAATAATTTAACCGTATCAGGTGATGGAACGTGGAGTAAGCGCGGATTTTCATCTATGTTTGGTGTATTTACATTAATTGGGCATTATACTGGTAAAGTGCTCGATGTTGTTGTAAAGCTCTACATTCTGTAAAGCTTGCATCACAAACAAACAGAATTTAAGTGAAATAGAGTTTGAAACCTGGTACGTAGACCACGAAGAAGATTGCCATGCAAATCACGAAGGAAGTTCCGGGGGCATGGAAGTGAAAAGCATCGTAGAAATGTTTGCAAGAGCAGAAGATTTACATGGCGCGACATATAAAAATTATATTGGAGACGGCGACACCAAGACTTTTAAATCATTATTGCAACAGGACAATGAAGTACGGAAAAAAGAATATATTAATCATGTTCAGAAGAGGATGGGCTCAAGATTGCGAAAAGTAAAAAAAACGAACAAAAAAATCGGCGGACGTGGACCTGGAAAATTAACGGACAAGTTAATAAATAAATTAATAATTTATTACGGACTCGCAATAAGACGCAATCCAAACGACATTGAAAAAATGAAGAACAACGTGTGGGCAACTTTTGACCATAAAATTTCAACGAACGAGACCCCTATGCACGAGCGTTGTCCAAGCGGGCCAGATTCATGATGTAAGTGGCGACAAGCAGAAGCGGCTGAAACTTTGGAGGAATACAATCACCCCGCTCCTCTCGACCCTCATGTGCAGGAATTAATTAGACCAATCTACGAAGACCTTTCATCACATGATTTGCTGGACCGTTGTGGAGAATTTACTCAAAATAATAACGAGTGCTTCAACAAAACGATTTGGCAGTTCGCTCCGAAACACGTTTTTTGCGCTTCAAATATTATTACTATATCCGCATATTTGGCCGCTTGTATTTTCAATGAAGGTTTCTGTCCTATTTTAAAAATTATGACGACCATGGGCATCACCATCGGCCCACATGCACACGAATATGCCAGCCATCGTGACACGAAGCGCTTGAAACAGGCAGAGCGGCTAACGTCATTTGTATCGGTGGAGCAGCACGAAAAAACGAAAAACTACATGAACAGCAACATTTTGAAGAAGCCGAAGGACTGCTTTATGGACTTGGAATAGATGATTAGCTGTAAGTATCCAGATATAAACATTTACGTCAAGAAAACTAAACGAAAACTAAACTTAAAATTTTAAACGCGTTTTTTTCGAAACCACTTTTTTCGTCCTTCCGGAAGTGATAACTCAACCAATTTTTAACGAGTCTTAATGTTTTTTTTTTTAAATACGTGTAAATGTTTTCTCCATGGAATGAACTACAATCATATCGATATATTGCATACTTTTTTTTAATCGACAAAAAAGTAACGAAAAATTGCAGTAAAAATGAAAAAAAATTTTTGAAAGGCCGCCATTTTGTAATTTTTTATCCGAATTGGTTTATTCTAGTCTATTCCTCAACTTATACTAAACTTATACTAAACACTTATACTAAACAGGAAAAACTTTACATTGTCTGTTTCAGATGATTTTTAAGACCAGGGGAATTTCCGGAAGGAGGCAGCCTCTTGCGCGCAGTTCATTACATAATCCTATGTTACTCGGTGGGAATTTGATGAAATGAGCTGAAATTTTTATGTAAACATCTTCAAAGTACCACAAATACATATGAAAAAACCGCGAGTTCCTATATGCTATACTTTTCCCACAAACAATTCATGAAAATTGCCCATTTTTTTGCCTCACAAAGTAGAATGTACCCTTAATGGCTGTCCGTAACCGTAACGTTAACATAACGCATTGTAAAAGAGTCATTTCTAAAGCTGGTTCTACATTAGTCGCATCGCAATGTCGCAAGCGTGTCGCAAGCGTTATGATCCAATCAGAGTCGAGCTAGCTTGATGTTGATTGGACCGCAAAGCTTGCGACGCTGAGATGCGACTCTACTAATGTAGAACCAGCTTAACCTGCTTCATAGTATTCGTATTTTGACATCTAAATCGAAAGTTCAATTTTATATAATGGATGTTGAGCGAATTAGAAATATAGCTCTTTTGGCTTATAATTTGGTAATAATAATGCTGCAATTATTACGGAAAAAGAGGAAAACGATTCGAAAAAGAAAATATTGGGTTCGGCCAATGCTGTTGGAGCGTATAAACAAAAAGATCATTTTTATACTCTCTTTCAATTTCTTAAAAATAATAACCACGAGCAATTTTTTAAGTTTACCCGAATGACTGTTTCACAGTTCGAGAAACTGTTAAATTTAGTAAAAGGGCCTTTGACGAAAAAAAGTATTCGTGAGCCTCTGTCAGCAGAACATCGCTTATGTATTACCTTGTAGTAAGCTTATTTTATAATACTTATTTAAATCATTTATTTAGCTCATCTAATTACATTATAACACTAATATTTTATTTTACAGCTATCTTGCTCATGGTTGCAGTATGCAAACTGTTGCATGGAATTTCTACGTGTCTAAATCAACCGTAAGCAAAGTTATTCGTAAAACTTGTAAAATTATATGGAACGAATTATCGCCGATATACATATCACGACCTACTACAGAAGATTTGAAACAGTACGCAAAAGATTTTGGAGATTTATGGGACATGCCAAATTGCTTTGGTGCGGTTTATGGAAAGCACATTGTCGTACAAGCGCCTTACAATAGTGGTACCAATTTTTTTAATTACAAAAAAACATTCAGTATCATACTAATGGCAGTTTGCAACGCCAAGTACATTTTTACTTTGGTTGATGTTGGTGCTTTTGGCTCACAAAGCGATGGAAGGGTCTTCAAAGAATCAGCTTTCGGAGTAGCTCTTAATAAAAATGAACTGGGAATATCAGAAGACACTTGCTTATCTGAAACTGACACAAAGTTTCCATATTATTTGGTTATGGATGAAGCATTTCCTTTGAAAAGATATATTATGCGACCGTATCCTGGATGTAATTTAAATAATAGGCAGAAAATTTTCAATTATCGTCTGTCTCGAGCACGTCGTACCATTGAAAATTCTTTTGGAATTCTTGCTAGTCGTTGGCGAATCTTCCGAACAACAATCATCGCAAATGTTAAAACGGCTGAATGGACTGTGTGTGCTGCACTATGTCTGCATAACTACCTCCGGATATCAGAATTAGATGACAGATTGGAAAATGCGACTTATTGTCCTACTAATTATGCCGATACATGGGACAATGATGGAAATGTAGTTCCTAGAAGTTGGAGACAAGTCGATGTGAACGTCACTTTACGTAACATGGGAAGAATGGGAGCTAATAATGCAACTTGCCAAAATATCACCTTGCGTGATACTCTTGCTGGTAAACCTTCGGATGAGCTGCATATTCGAAACGAAACAAACGACCACGTGTTTTTGATGTATTTTTGGCTCCTGAAAACAAATATGACAGCAGAAATTGGCGCTCGGCCGTATCTTGGCCGCAATTTCGAAAAAACATCGAAAAAACGTGATTTTTTTTTAGTTTTTTGTATTTATTTCGAAAAATGCAAATCGTATGAAAAAATGTTTCAAACAAAAAATGCAGAGCGGAAAATCCTCTACAAATAAGGTTTGATACACTTTTGTCGTATCTTGTATAATAAACGCGTAATCCGTAGTTAAAGTACCCAACTTAATCAATTAGGTTTCTCGCAAGTGAAATGTGCCGAAATTTAGTATATATGAGGACGTGATTCGCAGGCATTTTATACAGTATCTTATAGATATATCTAGTCATAATCCATTAAATTAATAACCATTAATAACCCATGTGGATAGTAGGATGTATAGACAGTAATGCTTGGGTTCGGGCGGCTACGCCGCCCGAACGAAATAAAATAACATATCCTACCCGCTTGGGGCCTCAGTTACAGCTGAGACAGTGTCTGCTTGAAATATTCCTAACCCAATGAAGACAGTGGGGTGTGAGAAGACTTTTTAAAGACAGTAAAA